GTTTCCAGCAGACTGCATCTCTGGACTCTCTTGAGATTCATATGAAGTCTTTATGATTTTTGGTACGTCTGTGAAATTGAATCCATGTCATCTTGTGCATATCCTTGTACACTCTTGTACACACAGGTCGGTTGTGAGGACAAATACTCGCCACCGAAGACATTGGCTAGCAGTTGCGCTATATCGTGAATTGGCAGAAGTTAGAATTCATAAGCTGGCGCCATTGGATCGGGTCCCAGTGGCTTAATGGTCTACAAGCTCGCCTTGTAACCAGAAGGTCCTGTGTTCAAACCCCGCGGTGTGGTTGCGTGCTGTGAAGAGTCCCAATCAAGGCTGACGAAACAGCTGTCCAGTACTCCCAGGTTTTCCATTGGTTCTCTAACCAATGTCAGCTCATGATGAAATCCTGTAACCAATCAACCAAATCCTCACAAACCAATACTTGAATAAAAAAATTATAATTCTCATTAATTTCATTCACTCCCCTTACAGCGTATCAAACAGGCTGTTGAATAAACTGGTGGTCTATATGTGCCACTTACTTTGCAGGAGAGAAACAGAAAGAATGTGATGATTTTTGACAGATTATTCATATGACTTTATGTCGTAATGTCTAATACACTTTATACATGTAGGTAATTTTAAAAAATTCCTTTACGTTCCCAATGGAACGTAGGGCTTCAAGTCAGAGCTTTGAAGTTTCGGTAGCAGTGGTGTTTATTTTTACGGAATAGGGTGGCTAGCCTCATACCCAGCCTTCCCTCTTTACCAATGTTATGACTGCGTGAAGCAGTGCGTCGGCCGGGGATTGAACCCCAAACCACATGCATGGTCGGCAAGCATTCTACCGCTGTACCACAGACGTACAGACATGTAAGTATAATGATAGCTAAGTGGCAGACGAATTTAGGATGCTGTATTCCTCCCTTATTTCTTGAATTGTCCAATTGGCGTGTTTCGACTTCCACTCCACTCAGACAACAGCGACAACAACCATCATTTAAAACAAAACAAAAACTCCATGGTGTTTTTTCGATTTTAAACGTTGATTATATCATAACAGAACGCCTGAATGGGTGTGACAGCAGTCGCTATGGTTCATGCGCATATGCGTTTATCAGATTTTTTTAACCAAAATAAAATATTTGTTGAAGTTTATTTTGTGTTTCCCCTTTAACTGATCATTGTGGACAAAATGCACATCCGGGGTTCCACTCACTGTTCGTGACTGTCCACCAAAATAAAGTCGTAATAATCCCTGGACTCTTTCGAAGTGTCCGTACGTAGGCGTCTAAATGTCAATAGGGACTGAAGGTTTTTTTTTCAGGAGCTGATTACGGATTGATTTCAGCTAGAGAACCACTGAAAACCACCAGGGGATACTGGACAGCTGTTTCATCCACCTAGTTTGGGAATCATCGGCAGTACGCACCCACCACATTAGGGGTCGAACCCAGGACATTCCGGTTACACGGCAAGCCCGTATACTATTACTCAGCCACTGGGGACCCAATTCATTGGCCGAATCATGAATTCTAAATTCTACCAATTTGTGATTTAGTGCGACCACCAACCAGTGCCATCGGTGGGACACAGAAGTCGATCAGGTGTTCTAGAATAGAGCTTCGCACAGACTTCCTTTCTGTCTTGTAAAACCATGCTGCTGGAATATGTTTTCGTATCCGTGTGGAAAGCGCCCTCTGGCTATGGCCAATGTACCTTGCTCTACAAAAGCAGGGGAACTGATAGAACACCTGATCGACTCCTGTCGCTCGGTCAACCCTGCGCATGATTTCAAGATCATCTACAGAATCCATGCTAACTTGCTACGTTTTCTTCGTTACAGACTTCTAAAGAGAGAAGAGGCCTTGGCCATTCATGAATTGAAGCCAGACCTTTGTGTACAAAAGAAGTATGTACAATCCCTACTTCTGCCTTGGCCGTAGAGGGATAGACATTTATTTATTTATGTATTTTGTTTATTTAGTTATTCTATGTACCTTTACCTCATTACTACCATTATTATTATTACTATTCTCACTCTGAATTGTTTCCACTTGTCCCACTTGTCATTCTAAATCCGAAATTATAATTTTTTTGTTTTTACAATATTGAATTGTATCTTATCTAATTTCACACCATATTATGTAACATTTTATATTCGCCTAATAATCCTATAATTATGTACCCCTTTCCAACATCTATACACCTTATGTATTATTCTATATACGACATTGATTGTTTTGCTACTTGACATTTAACTATGATTATAATCACAAATATTTTAATTGCATTTCATACTATTATTATTTCATGTATTCACACCTTTGACCTAATTCCCTCACCGGATACAATTTCTTAAGAACCACATACATATATGCGATTGTACAGGTTGATAATAAATTCATTGTTGAAAAGAGTCTCTTCGCTGAATATTGTGTTCCCTAATGCTACAATGGGAATTATTAAATTATAGAATTATACTCTACCACAGTGCCCAAGTTCTATTTTTTGTGTCAGAATGATCTTAGTAGCAAAATGTCAGGAATTTTCCTGCTCTGTTAGTGTTTCCTCTGTTTATAAATCGTACATTTTCCCCAGATGAATTGATATTCGACATTAGCGTTGAATATGCTGACTAGAAAGACATTGAAAGCTCCTCAGTTAAACCATCCAGCTCAGAGAACACAGTGACATTAAAAGGAATACCTGTTTATTGAACAATCAGACATATGCTTTGAAAAATTCAAGATATACGCTACATGTTGATATATTCAGGTATAAATTTATCTCTACTTAAGGGAAGTACGAAACCTACAGGGAATACTTTCAGCAGTCAGTCACATGTCAGAGGTAGATTCAGTTCAAGTAGTTGGCTCAACTGATTTCAAGTGTGGTCATAGATTTCTAAAGAGTCGCAGACTGGGACGAAATAACTGTCCAATACTCCCTGATTTTAATGGTTGCTTCTGTAACTGAATTCTAATCGTAATCAGACTTAGAAGTTATTTGTATACAAGGTTAATATAAAGCCACTAAAAAACTTAGCGCCAGATGTTTTGGTATTTAGAAGCCGCTTAATTATTAGCCAGTCATATAACTTTCTTACTTTCTGGTTCTTATCAGTCTTTTTAGTTTTAAGTTTCAAATGATTCCATCACTGCAATGGAGTCCAATGGCCCATGAATCCTAACTTCTCTCAGTTCACGATATCTATGGCGCCAATGCTGACCGATATCATCAACGACTATTTGTTCTCACACCTGACTTCACTAGAACTCTAGGTAACATCATCCTGAGGACAGTTACTAATGAGGTGAGAAGTGAACAGGCTTGCTTGCTAACTTCATTCCGATCCCCAGAGTATTGTCAAAGAGTCCCAGATTAGGATGAAAAAAAGCTCTCCAGTGTACTCCCTGGTGGGTTTCAACGGTTCTTACAATGATGTTTGTTGTCGACTGTTAAGGAATGGTTTTTTTCATAAATATTGAATTCTTAAAACAATTAGTTCCCTTTATGAATTTAGTTAGACAAAGCAATAAGAAGACGTAATTTGTCGGGATCGTGTACTCTTGTATTTGCGCAACACATTTCGAACAATCTGATCACACGCACGGACTTGTCATAGGAATATATATGAAATTAATAAAGAGTTAAGAGGTGAGAAAATAGACTACTCAGGTCAAGTTAAAAGGACATATTCAAGGTCAAAATAACAATGAAGATCAGTCAGTAAACCAAATAGCAGAGGTAATAGTACATACATCTGCCCTGACTAGTATCGAAACAGAGTTTACCAAGGAAGGTGGTTTAGTGTGATGGCGAATTGTTGCTTTCATCGCATAAAGGTGGTTTAAACTTTCCAATTGACAGCTAGGGCTTCCACAAACTTTACGATACCCCATTCCCCCTAACACGTTTTATAGGTATGTTTAAAAGATCTGTTAACGTCAATTTTATGTCCTGTCTCTTGTAATATGTTTCGCAAGAGAGGAGCTAGGCCATCGTCTGTTCTCACCATGAATGGGTTCTGAAGGTTCTGTTTGATTCTTGAGCCATTTAGGAATATGCTCTGAAGCCAGCCCTCACTTGCAGAGATCGATGAGTCCTCCCTCCTATGTATGTGTGTGTGTCCACACGTACATTCAAATTACTAAATACAGTGGGATGTGACATCACTTTTCGCATGTTCAAACAGCTTAGATGGATGGATATATTGGCTTCACATTCTCAATTATTATGATATTAGCTGCATAAAAAGTCTTTTTAACCACACCAGCGTTCAGTGTTTGTCTAGTTATCAAGCTGCGTGGTATGATGCCCCATATAGGGTAGCTTGATGTACACGTCTTTCTTAACGGCGAGTTGTAGAGTGGGTCTTGGTGTTCCACTGACTACTTCATATTTCCTGATGAACTTGTCTGGATAATTGTTATCAACCAGAGTTTGTGTCAACTTTGTCTTTCTTCTTCTTCATCAAGTGTGTCTGTCTTCAGTGCATATTCGTTGGATTCTACTGAAGAGGCGCCTTACTAAGGCTTGGTAATTAAGATACTGTCCTGTCCAGGTAGGTTTTCTATATATAGATATAGATGGTTTTATTGACCCATCAAGTCGTTGACTAAGCAATATATGAATATATGAATTCTTAATTAAGTTTATATATTGACTAAAACATCTGACACGCTCATGGATGAGTTGATTTCTCTAATGACACATGACATGACAGAATGACACTATCCCATTAGTGTGTGTGTGTGTGCATGTGTGTGTGCCTGCTCGCGTGTATATTTTTGTACGTTCATGTGCATACCGCACATTTACTTTTCCAGTTTGATATTGTATAGTGTACAACTTCAAGTATCAATTGCATTTCTTGTCTACATTGATTAATTTTCAATATTCAATATATATATATATCACTTTGTTTATATCATTGACATGACAACTAATCGTGTCATTTATTTGTTTCTCTGTTTATATTTACATCTGCACAAAAGGAAACGGTATATCAGTGTATTCTAACTCTACTTTATTGTATTGCTATTGGTGTCACTTTCAATCACTTGGAATATTTACAATATTTCATTGGACCAATCACTGTGAGTGTGTCATTTTTGACTAATTTTGCCTAATTTTGATTTGTTTTTTGTGTTTGTTTCATATTTTGGTCGTTTTATTCGATTTCCTTAGCGTCTATCTATCTATCTATACACGCCTTAAAAATGTTTGTATCTGTACAGCTGTGAATGATCTTTATTTACCTCTATTGAAGATGAGTCAGTCAGTTACTCCCCCTCTCTCTCTCGCTGTCTCTCTCCCCCACTCTTTCTTGCCTTCTGTGTTGCTTCAGCAATTCGAGACATGAGTGATATTGCTGAAAACTAGAATATCTGTTTAAGAAAGTGATGTTGTGAAAAGAGAAGGATAGGTTGGCAAAGTTAATATTTTTAAGCACCACTAACTACCAATCAGAGAATGACCTTGAACGAACCAATCACACGAAAGAAGCATTTTTGTGGTTATGGAAAATATATGATTATGAAAGAACTGCATAAAAACTGCAGTGAAACTCGAGATATTAGGTTTTTAATTCGCGAAAAATACCCATTAAGACATTGAAATAAGAACAGATTAGTTCAGCGAAGAGTCTCTTTTCGGCGAATTCATTCACTTAGCTGTACAGTCGCAAATATATACAATTAATTTTGTGTGTGTGTGTGTACATTAGGTTTGTCAAAGTGAAAATCAAAATAACAGTTAGTTTTGGTTGTTGATTATATCATCAAAATAATAAAGAAATTAAAATGTGTGATTAATAATCAAAGTTGTAACTAAGTGGGGTGAAGATTGGTAAGATGTGAGTAGGATTACGTAATGTAGGCATGTTTAGAAAGATTAGATGTTAGTGAAGGAGTATGGAGACAATTATGAAAATAAACTAGATAATAGGTGAAAAGATTGAATGGGTTAGTTACTAAAATTGTTATGCGAAAATTGGAAAAAAAATTTGATAACAAAATGTTGATGACAGATAAACTTGAAATTAAACCCATGGTAGTAGGACGGGGTGGAGAAGTTTCTTCTGTGTGCATAAATCAGGCTTTTCTATCGAAATCGCTAAGGCTTCGGCAATACAAAGTATGCGGAAGCTTGTCGATTTTGGAAGGCTTCTTTTGACTTTATAGATGACTTTGAACGACTTCTCCTTGCAAATCGAATGACTATTGTTGAGTATATGCTCAATAACGGCGCTCCTTATTGCTCCGTTGTTACCTTTCCGTAGCCAGGCGGGATAGTGTTCTTGAACTCTTTTAGATAAAACTCGCATCGAACGACCTATATACCTCGCTCCGCAAGAGCAGGTGAATTGGTAGATACACATGGAAGTGGCCAAATGCGATAGTTTATCTTTAGAGTAGTTGAAGAACAATGGCCGGGAGGAAAATGTCAGTCGTAGTGTGGCAGCGAAGAATGTCCTTCTGAGAGCAGTAGATATCCTCTTCTTCAAGGTGTCAGCCAGAAGGTCACCTTTGAAGGGTACATTCATGTAGACCATCTTCTTCTGCACTGTAATGGATTGTTCTTTGTGAGTCTTAGGCTTAATGTGCTTGTCTATAAAACGGGGTGGGTAGCCATTCTCGAGCAGTGTCTTCCTTAAGAGGGCGATCTCTTCCTCTATTGATTCAGGACTGCAGATTTTTCGGATTCTAGTCGCCAGAGATATTATCAAGTTTCGCTTGCGACTAATATTAGGTTTTGACCAATTAAGGACTCATTAAGTGAGTGCATCTCTTTCACAGAGAGTGATGGTATTACAGTCTGTCCACTCTGTGGGTGTGGGTTCGAATCCCACTCCTGACACCACTCGTGCATCGGTGACACAGTGGTTAGGACTCTCGCCGACCATGCACATGGTTCGGGGTTCGATCCCCTGCCTACCCACACCTGATATCTATCGTCGGCCTGCAAATTTGAGCTACCGATATCACATGCTAAAAATTCCATACCTGTACCAAAAAATACGATGTGGAATCAAGCTGTAATCAAAAAAATTAAAGAAAGAAAGCTCAGCGAAGAGTTACTCAGTTCAGAGATATCAATTTGTACAATCGCATATATATATGCCTAGTGAATTGTCCTAGCAACAAAAGGAGGAATATTTCCAAAGATGTGTCATTCGATTTGTGAATTATTTAGATAACAAATTTGTCATACAAAAAAGCGTTAATCTAGTAGAAAATAAAATAAAATTATATAGATGAGTTGAGTGACCTAATATGATTTTCGATAGTTTGGTTTCTAAGGGTGAGTTATGTTTTTACGAGTTGATCACGGACTGATATCGGTTAGAAAAGCATTGAAAATCAGCACTGGAGTACTGGACCACCGTTTCCTCCTTCCTAGTTTGGGAATCATCTGCAGTACGCACCCACCACAGGGGGGTTCGAACCCAGGACCTTCTGGTTACAAGGCAAGCTCGTATACCATTCAGCCACTAGGACCCGATTCGAATCTCAGTGGGTGCGTACTGCCGATGATTCCCAAACTAGGATGAAACAGCTCCAGTCCTTCCTGGTTTTCAATGGTTCGTGACCAGTGAGGTCCAATTAGATGTCACGTGTGTGGATGGATGTCCCACCAACGACAATGGTTGGGGTCGCACTAAATCACGAACTGGTAGAGGTTAGAATTCATGGGATGGCCATTGAGTCGGGTCCCAGTAGCTGAATAGTATACGAGCTTGCCTTGTAACCAGAAGATCCTGGGTTCGAACCCCCTGTGGTGTGGGTGCGTGCTGCCGATGATTCCCAAACTAGGAAGGAGGAAACGGTTGTCCAGTACTCCAGTGCTGGTTTTCAATGGTTCTCTAACTGATATCAGTCCGTGATCAACTCGTAAAACCTAATATAATTGACGGGAATGAGTAGAAATCAACTAGAATTTGAACGAGATTCAAGTTACAAACAGTGATAATAAGGGGGGGGACGAAAATAATACAAGTGAGAAGCAAAAATTACATATCTGGTGTTAAGATAGATCAGGTCCATTGCAGATTTAATGACTGGACAAACTTCTTTCGTATGAAAAGAGTTCGGGATGTAACATGTGAATTGTCATTACTACAATGTGGTTTGAAGAAGTTCGATTAGTACTCTTTTAGCGAGAACTTTTCATCACAAAATCTATCAAAACTTAACCCACTATAACCACCCAACTGGATCTACAATTCAACGCAGACTCATCAGGAAAGGTATTGAGAAAGCACCTATCCCACTCATTGAAGAAAGCCTTCTTCGCAGCTGAACTTCAACTAACTTTCCCTACGAAATCAACGATTCACATGGACGTGATCAATATGGATCTATTAATTCACTTGCTCATGTGGAGCTAGATATGCCACGTGTACCCAGCGTTTGCTGTCCAAACACATCATCATCGAACACTTATCCTCATTCATGGTTTTACAAAGGAGAAAAAAGATCTCCCATGCCGCCTCAGCTCTATTCTGGAACACCTGATCGAATCTGGACACCGAGCTAACCCAACCGAAACAAAGAACTTCAAAGTCGTCTACATAATGCATGGGAATCTCGCCAAAAGAGTGCAAATCAAACTTCTTCAAACCACATTGTAGTAGTGACAATTCACATGTTACATCCCTGAACTCTTCATACGAAAGAAGTTTGTCCAGTCATTAAATCTACAATGGACCTGATCTATGTAAAAAACACCAAATGTGTAATTCTTGTTTCTCACTTGTATTGTTTTCGTCCCCCCCCCTCCTATTAAATTTCTACCCCTCATTATCACTGTTTGTAACTTGAATCTCGTTCAAATTCTAGTTGATTTCTACTCATTCCCGTCAATTATATTAGGTTTTACGAGTTTGACCACGGATCGATATCAGTTAGAGAACCATTGAAAACCACTCTGGACAGCTGGACAGCCAGCTATTTCATCCCAGTTTGGGAATCATCAACAGCACGCACCAACTGGAATTCGAACCCAGGACCTTCCGGTTACAAGGAAAGCTCGTATACCATTACTTAGCCGCTGGGACCCGATTCAATGGCCAGTGCATGAATTCTAACTTCTACCAATTCGTGATTTAGTGCGACCCCAACCATTGTCGTTGGTGGGACATCCATCCACACACGTGACATCTAATTGGACCTCACTGGTCACGAACCATTGAAAACCAGGGAGTACTGGAGCTGTTTCATCCTGGTTTGGGAATCATCGGCAGTACTCACCCACTGAGATTCGAATCGGGTCCTAGTGGCTGAATGGTATACGAGCTTGCCTTGTAACCAGAAGGTCCTGGGTTCGAACCCCCCTGTGGTGGGTGCGTACTGCAGATGATTCCCAAACTAGGAAGGAGGAAACGGTTGTCCAGTACTCCAGTGCTGGTTTTCAATGGTTCTCTAACTGATATCAGTCCGTGATCAACTCGTAAAAACATAACTAACCCTTAGAAACCAAACTATAAAAAATTATATTAGGTCACTCAACTCACCTATATAATTTCATTTTATTTTCTACTAGATTAACGCTTTTTTCTATGACGTAATTTGTTGCCTAAAATATTTACAAATCGAATGACACATCTTTGGAAATATTCCTTCTTTTGTTACTATGACAATTCACTAGGCATATATATGTGCGATTGTACAGACTGATATCTCTCTTCGCTAAACATCTTTTCTTTTGTATGACTCAATCAGAAGCGTTAAGTGACAGTATTCCAGCGCAGAGAAGCATCTGTGGTAGAAGTCACCATGTCAATAGAGACCAATCATCACAGAGTAATAGCGATCGATCAGCGGGAAAGACATCATAACTAAACACAACTAACTGTGGTGAGAGCTGTCTTCTAGCCAAAATCGGTAGACAGCAATTGACATCAATGTTTACATCTCAAATCTTGGTCACAAGAAAAGAACAAGAACATAAACCAACTCAACAGCCAATCATAGCAGACTTTGAGTGGGCGGATACGATTCACGGATATATGGTCTGATTTTCAAAGAAATGGCCACACAGAGACGACAAATTAACTTCCAGTGAGAAAAAAACCATCAGAAGACGCTATTTCTCTGCTGTTAATAACGAATAATAATGTACATAAAAATCTATAAACATCTGTGAATTTCCCCAATAAACGATCTGTTGCCTGGCCCTTGTCTTCTGTCGTTACAGTAACAACTGATATCCGTTGCACAAGAAGTGATTCTTGTGATTAAACAGCCTATTGGATAACATCTTGGGGTTTGTAAAGGGAGAGGCTACGTTTGTGTCGCACGAGAAATGCAATTTCTCACGGCAGATCCGTAAATATACAGCTGATGAGTCTGACTAAGGACGAAACTCGAATCCTGAATTCCTTTTCTGTCCATCAACTATCAAGTGATTATTTACTGTATCAATATTTTTGAACTTCAGTCAACCTTACTTGAATATAAACTTTATCGACTTTTTACAAAAAAAAACATTTTTTTATTATTCTATTTTCTCCTTGTTTATTTGGTTCTCCATAGATATTTACATCGGCTAATTTTGGTGTTTACATATTTGGCAGTATGGTCGCCTTAACTGAATTGGTTTGTCGACATCCAGAGGTGAATAACACTAGTCAAGAGAATACATCAACTACAAATCCCCCGGCATCAAATAATCAAGTCAAGTAAAGCAATAACAAACAGGGAAAAAAGGCACAGCATACTCCCATAGTGTATATAATTACCAAAAATAAATATTAAAAAAAGTATTGAAATCCTCCTTTATCATCACAAAAACCACTACGCACAGTATACATTCTTCTTGTGATCTTCTTATGATATATGATAACAAAATATTCAATTTTTATGAGAGAAAGAAAATCAACCAATCAGAAAGCACGGCAATTGACCTTGAACATACGCGGAAGTCTTAAAAATGGAAGATCTGTTGAATTGTAGGATTTAAAAAATTTAACTAATAACGCCTTTCACTATAGAATGTTGTTGTTTAGTAAAGGCGGGTTTTTATTTAATTATTATTTATTCTCTTTCGTTTTATTTTATTTAGTTATTTTATCAATTAATTAATGAATTGGGTGATTGTTTAATTTGTGATTTTTTAGTGAGTGGTATAATAATCTGTTAATAGATTTATATATATATATGAATTCGTGGAATAAATTCTTGGTAAATTTGTGAATTTAGTTCAATATTTTGTTTTGTTGATTAGAATAAAGTTAATGAATTTGTTTTGTCACGGCAGAAGATAAGAGAATTGGGAGTGGACTATATTTATGAATTCTGAGCCATATTAAAATTCGGTTAGGTTAGCGAAAAATGAAGTCTTCTGATTCGTTGGCGATTGGCCTAAGGTTAGTCAATAAGACGAAAAGTTGTCCAATGAGATTGTTTCCTGGCCACAACGTAAACTAGATCCAGATTTGAGGAATAAACACGTATACCTCTTTTTATCATGTAGTTTTGTTCTCTGATCTGGGTGGATGATTTATTTGCGAAGCTTTCATTGCCCTACTAGGCAACATATTCAGCGCATATACTTTAGTTTGAAATGAAGTGAGCTTTTAGATTTCTCCACGAGTTTATTAGTCATCTCTCCTGATGGGTGACTTAGAACGTGATTAACCGTTTTTGCGTGTTTTCACACCCTCTAGGCTACTTGTATTGGCACTGGTGTTGTTTGTTTCCTTGACTTGAACTTTGACCCTTTGTGTGTGAGATTTCCTTCTCATCGGTTGGTAAATTTTGTCTATCTCGATGTATCTATTGATTGACGATTTACTGGAATACTAGGCAGCCTTATAAAAATTCTCTAGCATTCTTGGTGTTTCCTCTATCTAATATTTGAACGCTGGTTGTCCCAGTCGAATTGATGTCCATGGTTGTCTGTATGCAGTGAGTGATATGAGGGAGTGGATGTCATGTCTTTTGACGGCTAGTTTTTTTCGCAATCGTTACAATTTATTTTGTAGATGGTGTTGATTTTATCTTCTTTCGTTGTTGAGTCTTTTGGTTGACACAGGGCTGACTGAGTGAAGTGATTTTGTTGGTTTGTGTGCGACATCAATTCCTAAAGGTTTGAAGAGTCTTGCAGTGATTTCTGAGATGTCTTTTATATACGGTAGGCGATTCTCATTTTGCTTTTTTGAGGGGCCTTTGATTTGAAAGGTTGGCTTGGGGGTATATGTCTTTTGATGAAATCCATTCTTTTCGAAGACCACCATGAGATATCTTTCTTCAATTATCCTGAAGGTGGAAGTGCTGCAATGAGTCCTAGCTGTCTTGAATAGTGTTTTTATACAACTCCTTTATGTGTTATTGGATTGTTGCTGTTCTAATTGAGTATTCGGTTCGTGTGAGTTGATTTTCTAAAAGGTTGAATTTCTAATTCCCTTGTGGTTGTTCGCTTGACTAAGACGTTCAAAAATGGGATTTTGTTCTCAGATTCCTCTTCTCTTGTGAATTTGATGTTCCTGAAAACGCTGTTTATTAAGTTGTGAGTTTTGTCCAACTCGTTTCTTTTGTTATGGGTAAAATTTATTTTGATAAAGTTTCACAGTGTTTGTTATACAGTAATATTTACTGATGACCACGTTTAGAGCACAATTTATTGCTCATAATCATATCAAGGTATTCACACAACTTTCTAACTTCGTTTATATAATTCAGTTATGCCTCAAATCTACTATCTTCAAATTCCAGGGCAAAATATATAAACAAACAGACAGTGTAGCAATGGCATGGATCACCAATATCCCCTATCGTAGCAGATATATTTATGGACAGCTAGGAAAATGTTGCTGTCAATATATTTAATCCTACTCCAAAGATAGGATGGAGATATGTGGATGACACTTTCACAGTGTTGAAGATAGAACATACCCCCAGTTTCTTCACATATGTAAACTCACTAGTAAAGGGAATAAAATTCACATTTGAATCGGAAAATAAACAAGGCGAATTAGCTACGTTAGACTGCAAAATGAAACGAATAGAAGAAGGTAAACTAAACTGCACACTAGTGTTTATAAAAAGCCAGCGCATTCTGCTAATAGATATTTAGACTTCAATTCATGTCATCCGTTATTTGTCTGTGAAGGCAAACATAGTTAAGTTTCCAAAGAAGCGAGGAGTAGCACTAAGTAGTACGACAAAGTACCTGAATGATGAAATGAAACAGATAGAAGAAGAAGCGTTAGTATCAAATAACTATCCTATAAAATTCATTAGGAAGATAAAAAAGGTCAAAAGCAAAATAAAAATAATGGTGAAACTAATAATGATAACGTAAATAAGAAAGAATATAAGGCATCTACTGTTATACCATATAAGGAGAGGATATCTGAGACCCTACAAAGGATTCTTAATAAAGCAGGAATTAGGGTGTCATTTAAACCTACAAACTCACTCAGGGACAACTCTGTAGATTGAAGGACACAGTTGACCCAATTAAACAAAATAATATAATTTACAAAATACCTTGCAATGACTGTGAGTTAGGTCAACTACATAGGTCACACTAGTAGGTCGGGGGTAATCAGATTGTCGGAACATAAGAATTTAGCTAAGGTAAGAATGGTTGACCCAGAGAAGATAAGTAATTTAGAAAAAGGCTCAGCAATTGCACTGCATGCATTAACACACAACCACACAATAGGGTGGGAGAGGGTTAAAATTCTAAGAAGTAATCTATGTAGGTGAAGATAGAGGAAGTTTGATTACTGAATCCTTGTTCATCGAATCTACACCCAACACATTCAATAGGAATGAATCATCACTCATACCAGAAATATGGAAAATACTACTACCAATCAAGTCAAGCGATTGCAAAAAAAAGTAATGGAATTCTATAAACGAAGTTAGAAAGTTGTGTGAGTAAGTGCCTTGATATGATTATGAGTAGAGATAAACTGTGCTCTTAACGTGGTCATCAGTAAATATTACTGTATAACACACTGTGAGACCTTATCAAAATAAATTTTACCCATAATGGAATTATACTCTACCATAGTGTACAAGTTATATTCATATATCGTTTCTTTTGATTATTACAAATTTGTCATCTACGTAATGTATCCAAATTTTGGGTTTCATCTTTAGAAGGATTATGTTTTCGAGCCTTCGTGTCACTGTTTCTGCATCACCTGACCAGCTATTTACTTGAAATGCTGAATTCAAATTTTGAGCACATCCTACCAATCTGCATCTATACACTGCAGCACACACACCACCTTATAAAATTAAATTATATCTAATCCCCACTAGGAATCCAATCAAATTCATCCTGCAGTCGATCACTAGACAAGTATCCTTTACTGGATTTGAATAGTTCTATATCTGAAGTCAGTCCATGACTAATTCTGACATCACTTTTAGTCTCTATGGTGTCTGAGTAATAATAATAATAATAATAATAATTTGCTTTATTCCAGAAACAGTACTAGTGGTACAGTGTGGAATTTTCAGCACAATGTTTCTTGTAATGCAACTATCGCCATATTGTGATAAGTATCAGATGATAAGAGAGACTGGACATGCATAATTTTGTTGGGAAGTGAACGGCAGTTTGAACTGACAATAACAGGAATAGTTGTGCGATATAAAGGTATCCGTTTGAGAGCACGTTACCAACCACCATGATGTTTTCTCTTAGTTTTATTAGATGCATGAAAGTCATATGGTTTTAAACATTTATTGAATTCATTACTGTATTTGATACGATTTTTGATCATATTTTGTTAAAATTAAAAATGAAAACATGATGTATTAGATGCAAATATGTAGATGTACGGAGAGGTAGCCCAGGTGTCAAACAGGCCGCCAGAAAATTTGAGTACAATTATACATGGTTTAACGATACTGAAATGTATTAGGCAACTCAATTGAATACTGAATACTACTGTTCTCCCTCATATGTATACAGGTATTCATAGGAAACCTTTTTATCGATACTTAGGAGTAAGCGAAATTCACTAAGAAGTGGGAAATATGTCCAATTCTGTCAGTTGCACCAGTTAAGAAGCCTAAGAGATGTATTATAGATATCTGTCGCATTCCCTTTTAAGCGGCATAAGAGTGAGTTGGTAAAGAGCTGGGAGTAGTCAAATCAAAGTATGGAATCAATCCATAAAGTCTGTGACTGTTGGTTTGAGCAAAGTAGGATGTTGTAGACCGTCTGGCTGATATTCTCGAAACCCTAAGAACCAATGACTCAAAACCGTGATCCGCCATCCCATTGGTTGAATGGTTAATGCGCCCGCGTCTCTACCTAAATGTCTTGAATTCGACTGCAGGTAGCTAGGGTCATGTATTCATTTACAGATGAAGAGTCCTAAACAGGGACGAAATAGCTGTCTAGTACCTCCATCTTGTTTTCATTGGTTCTCTAACTGAAGTCAGTTTGTAAGCAAAACTGAAATCAATTAAATTTCTACAAATCAAGTTAGATCATAATCTCTGTAGTGACTAGAACTGGAGTACTTACGTTGGACTTCAAGAAACCAATGGATAGTTTTTTCTGTGTAGCTTATCAAACTTTCATTAGCCACCTACAGTCTAAGTTGATATGTTCTAATGATATCAATAATTTCAAAGGCATCTGTGCAGTCCAAAAGTTTCCCTGGTCCAAAATATCTGCTGTTAAATAAAATTAATTAACCAAATACGGTTGTAAAAAATACCTGAGGACCTTGAAGAATATTTCTAATAAGATGCGATTAAAACTCTGTCAAAATTAATCAAGTAAGACAAGACACTGTTTTTACACAAACAGTCCACGATCGAGCAGTGAATCCATGGCATAACTGTGGCAAGGGCTACTGATACGGTTTATCAGTAGTATGTAAAGAGACGTTCATTGGCATAAAAGCATCAAATAGCAGGGAGATACATTTGATGTTAGAGAAGGCAAATGGTACAGAATTGTGGAGATACATAGGACACGCGAATGGCACACAAAGAAACACAACATGAAGTCTAGAAGTAGCACAAGACGGAAGATCTGTGCAAATGGTGATTTGAAGATAAGGTGTACATAAATTGGCTATACAGAGATATCGATTTCTAAATAAACTTTCCATTACCAAGTCTTCATCTGTTGTCGTTTCATGGTCACTGAATATTATTCAGACAAACATACAATAAGACACGCAAACCTTTTTATCAACGGA